CTTCCGACGGTTTGCTCCAAAGTTGATAGGCGCTGCGTCCGCCCTAGGGCGACTTTTGTCCAATTTGGGTAGACCCAGCGTCGCTGCAAGAAGGCTGTACACTTGGGATATCCGGACAATGGCATTGCACGGTGCACCGGTGTGGGCAGGAAGTCACGATGGCTCGTTGGTCGTCCCGGCTGGAGGCTCCACGTGCTGTCTTTGACGCAGTGGAGGCGCTTCAGCCGGTCATCGCCGATTGGGCAGGGTGGCAGCATGGTACCCTTTCCTGCCGACTTGCGCAGGTCTTTTCCGGGCACGGCTGTTTCGGGAAACACCTGCACTCGGTCACTAGGAGGGAATTGAGTCCCGCCTGTCACCACTGCGATTCCAGTGAGGACTCGTCTCTGCATACGCTGGCAATTTGGTCCTTATTGCAGTCCTCGGAGAGGATCTCTCGCTACCGGCCATCATACGCTCCATGGTCGGTAGCGAGTTGTTTTACCGCCGGTCGCATCCGTCTGCGAAGACGTCAACTCGCAGAAGCAGGCGGCGGAGAGAGCTCGGTAGGATGACCTCAGCTCGGACCCAATTCGCCGCCGCCTCATGCCGCCGAGTGTGGCCGCGGGTGGACGGGACGGGTTTCCCCTCCATCCGCTACAATGGCCAGCCGCGAGGAGGCGACGTTCACGTGTGCCGAACGTTGTCTAAATAGAGAGTTTTACCGAAGATGATGTCTGCGCTTTTGCGGGCAGGCGCTAGGAGGGGTCCGGATGTCGTAATGACAGCTGTTCCCGGATCCCTCCTATTTCAGGCGCAGAGTGACACACCGTGTGGTTTTAGTCGGTTCGATTCCAACACACCGCCCCACAGCAAATTCCGGTGGGGTGACGGCCCGAGGGGGTATCCACACGTAAAAAAAAAAGCGTTAGAGTAATTGTTTTAAAAAAAAACGGCATGGTGCAAGTCAGACTCTCGCACGAAGGGTTTCGTAACATTATCTTTAAAAACGGCAAAAAAGCACGTTGTATGGGAGAGCCCTCTTAAATATTTGTTTTATTTTAATTTAATTATAATATTTATATTTAAAGTTAATATATAACTAAATATTCTGTAGATATTTGAAGCGTCTACTTGTTCCCGTTATCAATATCGAGCAAAACGAGCAAAAAAATCACGTTTGTTGTATGGGAGCCCCCCTTAAATATTTATTTTATTCTGTTTTTAGTATTTGTTTTTATAGCTGCAACAGAAATACATCATCTGCGAAAATTTCAACTGTCTAACTATCACGGTTCATGAGATTCAGCCTGGTGAGAGACGGGCAGACAGACAGACAGACGCGCTGTGGAATATTTCGGTGTGTTTCGGATTAAAAATCTGTAACTCCGTCAATTCGAAAGATAAAGCTATCAAATTTTGTTCTAATATAAAGTAATACATAAAGAGTTAATATAAGTAATGTTTGATGAATTGGAATGATGCGTATTTTTTTTTAATTGATGAAGAAAGTCACAATCATTAAAAATAATATTCATTTATTGAAATATATTTTTTTACAAACATATCGTATGTGTATTTTTTAATTCTAATAACTCAATTAAGATGATTAACATTAAGATGATTATATAAAATTAAAAATGTAAAAATACTTATAACACTACGCTCAAATTTAGAAACATATTGAATTAAAATTATCGCAATATATATATATTTCTTTATTGATCAGCAAGATTGACATTTATTTATTTATTTATTTTCTTTAAAAACAACATTTTTACAGGCTTAGCCCAATGCAATAGTGTTATACCATCTACTTACACCCTGTGAGCTTCAGGATCTGAAATAAGTTCATTAACCTTGAGAAGGTGTAAAGTATCTTCATCGAGCTCCTTAACATTTTTTGCATATGGTTTTCTTATGCTCGTTATATATGGATCTGAGGTGTAAAGTAGTGTATTCAACACATCTTCGTTTGTAGCTATTCGAGAGCATTTCCGAGCATGGTGTAAGCGAAATTTTTTACAGTCCTTATTGTGGACAGATGATGGCATGTAATACCAACTATATTTACTCACGTACATTCTTGCTGTTTCCAGAGCATAATTACCAAATTTCTTACTATCTACCACTATACCAGATGACAAAGCCTGTAAAATTATGTATAACCGTTTAATTAAATCAATGTCAACTCCTGTGATATCAGCAGAACAGGCAGCATTGTAAAAAAATCTTCTAGCAGTATTGCCATCATTACTATTTCCCGTCCCCTGTCGTGGTTTGTCAATATTTAGACCCAACTCTTCACGAAATCGCTTCTCTACTTCAGCCTTTTTTTCTTGTCTGAGTCTTTTTTTTTCTTCGCTTGTAGCAGACCACGTTTGGAAAGATAGATTATATGATATGTGTAATATCATTTCCATGCAACGAATCCAGGCATGTAATGTGGATAATCCGTATTGATAAGCATTTTCATTTTCAGGCCTGGCTGTTACTTTTGTTAAATCATTCATTTGTCTAGGAGTTGCTCCGCATATTGTACATGTGGAACTAGAAGGCGTATCTGTTAAAACTTGTGCCACTTTTCCGTCTATCATCGTCAAAAAAAGTTCATGCTTGACTTGAACTCCCACGCCTTCTTTTTTAATTACTAATGGAAGCAAAGTTTGTATTTGATTTTTTATTTCATCTACAACAGATTTAGTTTTTTCTGGTGTTTCTTTGCAAAATTCTAAGTATAGATATAGGCCGACAAAAACGAACAGATGAAGGCACTGGATTTTGCCATATGATGGCGCCTGTTTCCTCGTCAATTAATCTGATAGGCGCAAAAGAAGTACCTAATAAATAAATTTGCATCGGAAATAAGTTCAGACTCCTCTGGTAGAGGTTGCTTGTACTGGCTTTGTCCAGATGACCCATCACAACCCCATTTGCTATATAATGTTAAATGTTTTTGTCCATTCTTGTAAACAGTATCTATACATCAAATTCGAGCTGCAGTGTGATCTAATAGATCTTGAACTCTCAATATTTTTGCATAAGTATTTGTGATTTCGATTGTTGATGATGGTGGATAGCATCTCTGTTTCATTTCTTGTATTTTGTAGTATGGTGGAAATAAAGAACAGTTTCTTTCATCTGTAACGTTCCTGAGATACAGATATTGTACCTTTATTAGTTCCAAGTCGATGAAGACACTTAAGGCTTCTTCATCTGTAAGCCCTTTAATTATTTTTGCATCATCTAATTGATTTATAACGAAAACCTTTTTCTCTGCATCAGCCAACCTTAATTTTTCAACAGCTTTTGCTTCAGTTCCTTCTCCTATAGAACGCAATCCTTTAAGATATGCGCTTAGAATGTGCTCCAAACCATATTCATTTAGCAAAACGGTGTTTTTCCTTTTTTTGCTCGATTCTGAAGAGTCTCCATATGACACACACAGTCTTCCTCTTTTACCAGAAGAAGTAGACGGTGTAGAGTCCGTTGACACATTTTCTGATGTTGGTGTGGTTAACGAATATTCAGAATCCAACCAATTGGTGTTCTTTCTTAAAAAGGTATTCTTATTGCGTCCTGCTTCACTCCAGCGTTTATTAAACGATGGGATGATATCCCTTTGAATATGACCAATAATAAAACATATATTGTCTCCTGAAACTTGTTTTCCCTCCAAATATGTTGAAAGTGCCGCAGTCGTTTTTCCGCCTTCTATATAAGACACTATTAACTCACGTTCAGTACAGTTAAAAGTCGACTTATTGAATAATGAAACAGCCGTACTAGAGTAGGTAGAAACGGTAATGGAGAAATATTTTTTCGCTGCTCTTTTTATATTGTTTCAGAATGTGGGCATATTTCAGATATCTATTTTCTCACGAAAATTGACATCGAAATGATAAAAACTTAACAATATCAAATATTTAATTCTTAATAATAAAAGTAAACTACGAAACCGCATTTGATAGCGATTTCCGTTCCCAGACTAGTATTCGATTTTTTCCCATATCTTCGTAAACCGCAAAAAACCGCAGCTAATTTTTATATGTTTTAGGTGAGTAACTAACCTATGAATTACCATTAAATTCAAAGCATCGGTAAACAACTCTAAATGGTAAAAACTTCGACGAAGTTAAGGAAGGAATATTTTTTCCCCATTTTTTCTTTAAATTGGTTTTTAATTATATATTCGTATTAAAAACAATCAATTGTATTTATTTATTTCCTCTGATAGATGAGCTTTATAAAAATATATAATACCTTATACCTTTCATTTCAAGTTTTAAAACTATTTCACGTTGAAAAAAGTAAATAAACAACTAAATATTTCCCAATTGCTTAAACGTTTAACTTTACTACATGAAAAAAAAAATTATACCAAATACAATAGGACTTACGCTGCAGAATATTAAACCTCGACTTCTGAACTTTAAAATTACATTTATAAAGTGCCCAATTTCAATCAGTGATAAAAATCAATTTTGATATGCCTTTGTTCTACCATATTCCACAGTGAGACGGACGGACAGCGGAGTCTTAGTAATAGGGTCCCGTTTTACCCTTTGGGTACGGCACCTTAACAAGAACTGGTACATATCTGATTTCGGGAGGGGGGAGGTGTCCATGGGCGGCGGTATTCACTTACAGGTTATCAGGTGACCCGTCTGCTCGTTCGTTCGCTGCCTTGTACCATAAAAAAAAAGTAAAGAAATAACAGGACTCAGTATTTTGTGTACATTATGATTGGGTTTATAGTAATTACGTTAGGAGGTCTAAGACCGAGTTACAGGTGAAAGCACAAAGCTGACTTCAAGTTATGACTTACACGCTTTCCCTTTCACTACCTTCTTACATGCCTTTCCCTGTTATGTATACCTATACTACCAATTTTCCTATCCGTATTTCATTAATTATACCATTTCAGTAAACAGTGGTGTTAAATGCGCGTACCTATACAGGTGGCAGTGCATGTATGTACGTATTATAAATAATAATGTATTTATTCTTTTTTGTTACAGCCCACTGCGAAGAACGACAGCCGCAGTAAATCTTTGTTTTTGGCCTGGAAGCAAGTACCGCGCATTCTTATGCCGAAGTTTCTGTATTGTCCCAAGAGCAGTAAGGATACTCAAAACAAATCATGATCAAAATGTATTCATGAATTAATTAAACAAATTGTAATGATTTTTTTAAACTTTCGTATGTTGTGTTACCTCTATATTTCATCTACCTACCCTTATCCCAATTTTATTTGGGGTCGGCGCAGTAAGTATGATTCTTCCATTCTACTCTATCATGCCGTCATTTCAGTGTTTACTCCCTTCCTAGCGATATCTTCACTCACACAGTCAATCCACCTTTTCTTTGGTCTTCCTCTTCTCTTGTACCCTTCAACCTTCCCATACCTAAAACTTTCTTCGCCACATTTTCCTTATCCCTTTCCATGTCCATTCCAAGATAACCTATTACTTCTTAACTTTTCATCCAGTGGCGCTACATTCAGACTCCCTCGTATATACTCATTCCTAACCTTGTCCATCCGAGTCACACCACACATCCATCTCAGCATTCGCATTTCTTCTACGTTCAGGCGTCTTTCATCCGTTCTCTTAATGGGCCAACTTTCAGAACCATACAGGACGGCAGGTCCGATGATAGTTTTATAAACTTGTCCCTTCAGTGTTAAGGGGAACCTGGAGTCACAAATTGTTCCCGTTACCTGCCGCCATGTCCATCCATCCCGTATTGATTCGATGCTGTGCAGTTCGATCAATCTCACCATCACGTTGTAAGAGGGAGCCGAGTACTTGAAATTGGAGCAGACTGTTATCGCTATACCATCCAGCGAAATGGTTTCAGGACTGGAGACCGCCGAAATCGCAGAACATGTACTCAGTTTTGGTTCTGCCGATTTTCAGGCCAACATTCTCGAGCCTTAGATGCAGACTGGAAAAATTTCCAGTCTGCTCTGGACCTCCCCCCGTCTACATCGACCAACACAATGTCATCTGCAAATAGCATGCATCAAGGTGCCTCCTCCCGTATGTCTGATGTTAGAGCATCTAATATCAACAGGAAGAGGTATGGGCTCAGAGCCGATCCTTGGTGCAAGCCTACAGAGACACTGAATTGATCAGTGTTTCCCGTGACCGACCTTACATAACTGCTAGACTAGGAATTCACCAAGGGTTGCACAGGATCCACAAAGGGCTCCCTATAATTTTAGATATAAAACTAAAGGTGCGAACTGGGCTTTGTTTGGTTCACTCTTTGCAACTCATACCAAAGACTTCAGTCGCAGTAGTTTATCAGCTGAGGAAAGCGTAGAAATACTATCAGAAACTTTTACATACTGCGCTGATGTAACTATTGGTCGCGGATCTATCACTAACACTCGTAGATGTGATTGGTGGAATGATAGATTAGCCGAACTACGTAGAAGCTACCGGAAAGCTCGTAGAAAATTAAACACGATTAAAAAACAACGTAACAGGAGATTTGTACAACAATGCTCTCATTGCTCTTAGAGTTGCCAGGTCCCACTACAGAGCTGCTGTGGAAAAATCCAAGGGAAACTTAATTCAGAACTTGTTGATAAACTCGATAGAGAGGGCCCGTGGTCACCTTTGTATGACGAATTTAAGGCAAATAGATCAATCGACCTTGCATACATACAGAACATCAAAATTAATAACAGATATACCACAGGAGTAGAACAAACAGCAGAATATCTTTTAGACTCACTCGTACCTGACGATCGACCGGAAAACGACACTGATCATCACCGACAGATCAGGCAGTGGGCCATCGAACCACCACTGTCTCCAATGTCTGATTTACCATCTTCAGACGAATTTCTCGGTATCATTAGATCCTTGCCGCTAAACAAGGCTTCGGGCGATGATAAAATATCTAACAAAATGATAAAAGAAGCTTGTAAACTTTCGGGTGACACGATTTTCACTGTCTTTAAACGTTGCATTGCTGAAGGAATATTTCCTCGTATATGGCGGTGCGGTAATATTCGTATAATACCAAAAAGTGGCGACAAGCCACCGGATGATCCTAAATCCTACCGACCAATCACATTATTACCATCGTTAGGAAAGCTTTTAGAACGTCTTGTAGTGCCCCGGCTTCTGCCAGGTGGAGTCAAATTTCATGATAGACAATTTGGATTTACGTTGGGTAAATCGACAACTGACGCTGTTATATCGGTTAGAAAGTTTGTCACAGAGTCAAAATTTCAATACGTGCTGGCTATTTTCTTAGATATATCTGGCGCCTTCGACAACGCATGGTGGCCCATGCTGTTGCTGAAATTAAAATCACGGGGGTGCTTTAAAAATATTTATTCCCTTATCTCTTCGTACTTTTCACAAGGTACAACTAAACTAAGACTTGGTCATCATTCTGTGTCGAAGGCGCTTACAATGGGATGTCCTCAGGGATCGGTGCTAGGTCCATACTTGTGGAATATCGGCTTCGACGATTTTCTTGCGATACCAATACCATTCGGATGTACTCTGAACGCGTATGCTGATGACGGCTTATTACTGGTGGAATCTGATACTAGGGCGGGGCTTGAGAGATTAGCCAATAGATGTTTGAACTTGATATCTCAATGGGGTGAACGTAATCGCTTAACTTTTGCACCAACACACCACAACAAAACCTTCCAGCTACTTTTAAAAGGTAACTTCAAATCACCGCCGAGCATTAGATTTGACAATGTTACTGTAAAAAAATAAAACTACAGTGTGTTATCTAGGATTAGTTTTAGAAAGAAACTTTTCATTTATCGAACATATTAAAATAGTTAATGAAAAGTCTAAAAAGAGTTTCTTTGCATTGACAAGGATATCAACTGCGACATGGGGTCTATCATTTAATACATTAAAGATCATATACGGAGCTACTTATTTAGGTTCTATGTGCTATGGTGCACCTGTATGGGCCGATAGGGCGACCGTAGGCGCTGTCCGTCGCAAACTGTTACAAGGCCAACGACTTGCACTGATATTCTTGTGTAAGGCATATAGGACGGTTAGCACTGAGGCTTTGCCGGTGTTGGCGGGTGTGCTTCCGGTCGATCTCGAGGTGCAGAGACGTGCAGCCATGTACTATTCAAGACAACAAAACATGGAATGCGATTTTTTGGGCGCGCGGGATCGCGGTAAAATTACAAGATTGCTTCAACAGCAGCCCGATGTCTATATTGACCTTATAGACGAATGGCAACAACGCTGGGATGAATCATCCAAGGGGCGCATTCTTTAACAATTCTTTCCATCTGTTCGCGAACGGTTGTCGAGGATATGGCTTGAGGTGGATCGCTGTGTCGCTCAATTTCTTACGGGTCATGGTAACTTTAAGAGCAAGCTTTATTCATTTAAATTAGTCGAGTCACCATTGTGTCAATGCTCAACACCTAACTCTCACTATGAACAGTCTGCTCATCATATCCTCTGGGAATGTAGTCTTTGGTATAATGAACGTAATATAATGCTGAATAGCTTGCAGGTGACATCTGGGGCGGTATACTATGGGGATCTTGTGTCAACTAGGGTGCGTTTAGGCGATTCTGCCATACATATTATAGAAATCAAACATAGCTCACGTAGGACCCGTAATATTTGTGGCCGTGGTGCTTCCCTGTTTAAAAGGGTGTATGCCCATTTTACTTCATTTTGTCTCCCGCTTTGCTAAGGAGGGAAGTGGATTTACTGTATTTCCAACTCCTCCAATTTTCTTCTGATTAATTTCGTTGCGGGTTCCAAGACAGTTTAATTTCTTCCTGGGACTTCCCGAGTGTCATAACTCGGTGTGTTCGTGGGTCACTGCTGTGGATCCTGGTGTACAGGAGTTACAGTGGTGGGCGTGTGGGTGGGATTAGTCCCAATGTAGGGATAATAAAAAAAAAAAACTGCTAGACTCTCTGTACATAGCACGAATCAATTCTTCATACTTAACAGACACTTTTCTTCTTCTTTTAAAGCCCACCACAAAACCTCTGGGGAACCCTATCATATGCCTTTTCGAAGTCCACAAACACCATATGCAAGTTTTTGTGCGCACTCCTGTATCTCACATCGTTGACGCATTGCAAATATAGCATCTGTTGCCCCGCGTCCTGGCATAAACCGAAATTGACTTTGGGTTATCTCACTCTCATCTCTTATTCTTCTCTCAATCACTTTCTCCCAGACTTTCATTGTATGTGACATGCGCTTTATTGCATGATAGGTGTTGTATTCCTGAACATCCCTTTTATTTTTGAAAATGGGTACAAGTTCGATTTGGCAACAACATATTGAAGAATAGAGTCAGCCACTCATACACTTCACTTCAGTGACTTCCAATTTTCAACTGGTATACCGTCGGGGCTAACTGCTTTTCCATTTTTCATACTTCGTACTGCATATCTGACTTCATTACTAATCTGGTTCACCAGTCCGACATTCATTGCCACATCCTTCAGTACTCCGCTCCATTCATACTTTTCATTCATAAGTTTTTCATAACTCTTTTATATCTTTATCTTTAATCAACAATCTCCCCTCTTCATCTTTTATACATCTCACATGCTTTAGGTTTTTTGATCTTTCTGGCCTTTTTTTGTGGATAGATAGATAAAAAACTCCTTGTGCACCGTTTAACAAGTAGTATGGTACATAAAAATATCAGACATGTAATGTACAAAGGGTGGCCTTATTGCTAAGAGCAATCTCTTCCAGGCAACCTTATGATGGATTAAAATGTTTTTTAGAGACAGTAGTAGTTTAAGGTGCAATGAGTTTTGACAGGTTAATTAATAATGAACATAAAAGAGGTAAAATTAAATAAGTATTTACATATAAAACACATTACATTTACACAACACATACATATGTAATGCAGTAGAGTTATTTTTGACCTCTAGGTTCATGAAGGTGTTTAAACAATTTTGTATTGAGCTTGATATCTGGCTACTGGCTCTTCTATTTGAAAGTTACTAAATGAAAAATACACATAAATGACAAATATTTTTTAATTATATACACTATTACAAAACTGTTTACAACCTTTATCTTATACTATGTTAGTGTTTATGTACAATAATATGTTTTTTATAGAAATCTGCATATTCAACTAAAAACATGAATAAAAGTTACTGGAAATATTAATTTGAACTACATTTTAATATATTAGTCAACATTTTTATCTACTAATATTTCAGTAATTTTGTCTGACAATAACTAACACTGAAACAATACGAAATCTTTTGTATAAATACATATTTACAAACAATTTATTATTTAATAAAGAATTGACTTCGTTTTTGTAATATTTTTCAATCATAATTTTTAATAACTAAAAAATTCATATCCCTTGTATATTTTCCAAACTGCATGATTTGTTTCACAATATCTAGTTTTAGATTTTGACTCTTATATTCTAAAGCTTTTCTTACCACATATCTGTTATACTTGTGTACATGAGGGTGTTCACAGTATTCCTCAATATCCATCCACTGGCACTTATTGACCTCTCGTTGCGATGATTTAATTTGCTCTGAGAGGGCATTCATCATCAGTATTACATAAATATCTGAATTACCAAACATCATATTGTGATTGTGTCTAAATGTAACTAATGATTGAAATGTAGCATCAACACCAGTTTCTTCTTTAACCTCTCTAATGGCTGCTTCAATTATATCTTCGCCTGCAAGAAAAATGTTCTTGACTCAAATGAGGCTACTGTTTAAACACAGAATGATCAAACCCGTCCAGGAGAGTTAAATGCCTGTATTAGATGTGTCTATTTAATTATAAGTCTGGAACTTAGCCATTACATAACCATCACTTAAAACATAATATAAAAATGAGAATACAAAAGCAATTTTCGTGTGAAATAAATACAGTCTTTTTAAAATATTTTGTTTCACATAAATCATTTGGAGTTTTTTGTTAAATCAAAAGCATTGACATTATGTTCCATTAAATTTGTTTGTAACACCTAACTACTAACAAATTTAATCGTAATATTTTGCATTGATTGGCAAATTCTGTATGAAGAGAAACAAAGCTACAAGTAAAAACTTATAATAATAAAATATTTCTTACCTCTTTCAACATACCCTCCAGGAAGCTTCCAGTGAGGATATTCATAGTGTTTTTCTGATATTGCCAATATTTGTTTCTTGTCATTGAATACCATCGCACCAACCCCAAGATTTGTATGGCATGATGGAGGAAGATTGGGCTCAGAATCTTTTGGCAGCCACTTGTACATCATTACAAAGTCATCTCTGGCATGGTGGAAAGTAAAGCCTTTCTAAGAACACCAAGCCTTTATTAAAAAACAAATATGTCAACAACTCACCTAAAAATTTAAATGAACAGAGCTTGCACATAAATATGACCTAACTTACTTGCGCCAGAATTGGTACACAATATGCATCTTGTATGTTTACTTTAAACCATATACATCTACTGCCATCGGTGGTCCATTTTGATAAAGATTCTGAAATAAAAGCAATTTCTAATATCACAAACTTGAATCAAACATCAACAAGAGTAATAATAATATTAATATTTTATTCACAAATATCACAATATCACATTAAAATGTGAAGTAGAAGAGTAGTTTAGTGTATTTAAACATTGTATCACAGGTGCTAACTCCTTCCATCATTCTGGAACAGTTCCCTATTTTAAAGTGATAGCAAATACTAATTCGCTTGTCCCTATTAATAGTGTAGGTTCATCAGTAAGTTTAAAGGAGTGTGTCAAAGTTTCAAATCTCTATATATATAAAAATGAATTGCTGTTCGTTAGTCTCGCTAAAACTCAAGAACGGCTGGACCGATTTGGCTAATTTTGGTCTTGAATTATTTGTGGAAGTCCAGAGAAGGTTTAAAAGGTCAATAAATATGAAAATGCTCGTTTTTTTTTAATTCCGAGCATTTTTTAATTGTTTTTGTTTTGTTTGTTTATTTTATACAAAAGTTTAGGTCTTTTATTTATCAATGCCTGCCGATGTCTGCCGGGTCAGGTAGTTGTTTAATATTTTTATATACACATTAGGTTGACAAATTTTAACTATAATATTAATATACATTTAGTAGCTTAGGTACATGGTAAAGAAATATATTTATACTTTTCTAGATTTGTGAAAAGTCACAAAAGACTTTTATAATATGAATTGTAGTACGGGTGTGTATAAAAGGTTGATGAAAATTTACAAATGTTGTATTTTAGATATGGAACTCTGCCTGTTAGTCTAGGTAAATTACCTGTATCTAAGAGTGTTCAGCCTTACAGATTAATTTTGTATTAATTCTGTTGGAATTGTCCTTAGGTATACAATAATATATAATTGCTTACATACTACATATTGTGTGTGTGTGTGTGTGTGATCATATGTGTGGGTGTGTGTGAATGTTTGATTGTGTATGTGTGTTGATGTGTAGGCATAGAAGATTAAACAAGTTCTTCTATTATTTCAGTTATGTAAATGAACCAAAGTTCAAGTACTTATTGCACATTGTTTGTAGGTAAAATGAGTAGGAGTTTGATGTTAGTGTGACTGTGAAAGAAATCTGTGTGGTGACGGATTAAGAACATGGAGTGTGTGTAAATGTTTCCTTTTGTTCTTTATTTTAAGTTACTTGATTAATATACAGGATGGAAGCATACGGAGTATCACCACCCCTATTCATCCTGTGGATGTTGTAACAGTTGACTAAGGGAGCAATCTATGCAAGACAACATCACTACAGAGAAGGCAAACTTGAAACAAACCTTATACCAACTGGCCAGTGTATTATAGTAGGCCAAAACCTCCTGTCTAAGGAGTGGTCTATGTCCCGCCAGTGGACTACTAAAGGTGGATGATGATGATGCTGATGTGAAGGAAAGATGTGTTCTTAAGCGCAATATGTAATATAAAGTGTAGGTGTAGAGTATAACCACAACATGGCATAGGTTCCATTAAAGGTTTATAAATTCTCACAAGTATCGAAGTAATAATTGTGAGCAAGTAGCAAAAGTTTGCATCAATTTATGGTAAAAAACAAACTACTGTTTTTATTTTTTTTCAATAATGACCTACATTATTAAATGATAAACAGGCATATATTTATATATATGTATATTTATAAATATATATATATAGTATAGGCAGATGCCTTTATGACAACTTGTGTGCAATTTACAAAATAACAGTATTGCTCTCTCTAGATAATTTAATGTTGTGTGTTGTTTGGACTGTTTTATAATATTAGATTGATTTTACACAGTATGAAATGGCTACCAAATATTTTTACTTTACTTGTAAAATATTACTTTGGCACTTATTGGATAATATAAAATCAATATTTGCTGGTACATGTTTTATCCGCAGCTGTTTATCGGATCATCTTAAGTATTAGGCATACCTACATTTTTCATGTAGTATCCTACTAGTAAACGACATAGGGTAAGGTGCATCTGTAAAAAAAAAAAATCCAGGGATTGAAAATTTAACGCGAGCAAAGCCGTGGGCAAAAGATAGAAAGGCATAAAGATACCTTCAAGTGTGCCTAAGAACTTGAGCTGGTCACATTTCTCCTGCAACAGGTCAACAGTCACCCCCTTGTACCGATCTTTGACCCCTTCAAACGTGGCTTTTGAACGTTTGATGTAAACAGCACCCATAGAAGCTACACTAAAAAAAACAAATGCAATCTTTGAATATCAACAAAACACGTAATTCGTAGTATAAATCATATCATGCTGATCATAACACTGAAAATAATTACCGGAAAATTTTGGTTTTGGTGCTGAGTGTACAATAGCAAAGTAATTTGTTCATTTTAATATTCGCCACGCACGTAACATGTAAAAATCTCATTTATATTCGTGGCAAAGAAATGCATACAATAATACAAAAAGTACTCTACTTTTATCCTCAGCTATTATCTATAAATACACTGTACAAACACCAGTGTCGCCAACAGTTAAATGAATTAATGAACTCTCCAGTCACCAGATTCCAACATCTAAAACCACCAGAAAACCACTAATGAGAAACGACCCTATTTTTTTAGTAATTACGAAAGAAAACCATAAGTAAATTAATAACTAGTTTCCTTAAAATTATCAAAATTTGACATACATTACACATATCGAATTTTGAAACTGTTACTAATCGTTTTTGTCAGCACTATCATCGTCGGTTCCAGATTAGTACGATTCTTTGGTACCGGTTGGTTTTACAACGATTATTGGAATTTCATATTTGTTGCAGCGTTCTCCTTCTAGCTTCAAACCACAGCGTATTCTTAACAAAGCAGAAAATAGATTTAACTTCATTCTATTCCTCTGTTTATACCTATGGTCTCTCAACCCAACATCGGCATTGAAACGAGGCAGTAGTAACACAGTAATGCCAAAGGTCACTAATGCTTTAAAATGTCGAAGACCCTTGGCCCCCCTTTTTTTCCGTGCGGAAAACCCTTGGCCCCCTGGGCACATTTGAAAAGCAATTCCTCTAGTATGTGAAAGTTCCATAATACGTTGCGCATTGATACATAACAACGGACCGAGTTTCATTTGTTTGAAAGGTATCAATCTGCATTTCTCTTCTGCTACTCTACCGTATCATTAAACATAGAGTCGGAGTCTTAGGAGTTATTTCGCTAGTCTGTCCAGAATCAATATTTCCAACTTTAATTTTTTTTCCTGTGCCTTCTGGGGACATCCAAAATCCTTTCTGGGATCATCCTGTCTGTCTGTTGTAACGCAATAATTTGCATAACGTAGGATAATAGTTACAATCCTGGATTACGTCCTCAAAGTTATAGACTATATATAACGTTTAATCTTTCTGGCGCAAAGCCTACGACATCTCATTGCCAATATGTATAATCCTTCTCTTTCTGAGCACTTCTATCTAGGCCCTATCCTTCCTTTCTCATCCAACGTTCTTACACAAACAGTTCTCATAATTCATCTTTCAACCGCATTTCCTAAGTCCTCTACAATCTTACTATTACTACTAACCATTTAAAAAAATCCACTCGAAACTAAACGGGGTCGAAATTACCAGTTTTAGTGGGAAATGCATTAAGTTGACAGCACTGCCCATTGATGTTAGATTGTGGTGAACCAAAGCTGGTACAGATGTCGCTAAAAGGCTCTAAAAGCTAGTATTTCAAAACACAAGTTGGTAGACTGACAATAACGCCATATTAATAAAAAAAAATCGTTTAAAAAATGTATGTTCTTTTAAATGAAATTTTGAATTTTCAAAGAAATTATTATTAATATATTAGCATTAGGAATAAATCCTGTGTTGCGGAGGACTTTACAAATATACATGAAACGGACACAAATAACACCCACACTCAGAACAACAATTTGTGGATCACACAAAGTGTCGTCCTATGTGACTCTTGATTATTAGAAAAAAAAACATACCTTTTAAAATTAACAATAATAGTTATAATTCCATTAAATAAATTACATTGACCGATTTTTTATATTACTTTCTGACAAAATCATACCCATCATCCATGGATAATTCGCTCGATTGATAAAGTAAGTAACCTAAAAATAAATATCATTATGAACAGTAAAATTTTACAAAAATCAATATTGTAACTATCATCATCAGCCTATCGCGGTCCGCTGCTGGACATAAGCCTCTCCCATTGCACGCCATTAAGATCGTTTTGGGCTTCTCTCATCCAGCTCCTGCCAGCCATCTTGCGCAAATCGTCACTCTATCTGCAATATTGTAACCATGGCGTACAGCAACAACTTAACTTGAAAATGTTAGTTACTTTTTATATTGTTAGATAAAAAAAAAATTGTATGATCAATGTTGAAAGTTGGTATTATTGCGTACCAACACAATATTTCGGTGGTACATGGTACAAGACCCTGAAAAATGGTACATATACCAAGAAATTGGTACTTCTAACATCCCTGCTGTGCCCCGAGCACGAAAAAATGTCGAATGCGTATCGTAAACGTATCGAGTCTTCGATACGTTTACGGAGTTTTACGATAGGCGGTAGCACGAAGCACTAACGTTAAGGTATCGAGAGCTCGATACGATTACGTTAGTGACGTCATCCTAACGTAAATAAGGATGTGCACTTAAGAACGAATTCAACATCTTATTGAATGAACTATGCGTTCGAAAACATAATGAAATAGTGATATTTTTATTACTTTCGGTTAAACTACCTATTTATTGACAATTAAAACAAAATATACTTATAAAAACACATTATAAATCTTAAATGAGGTATGGGAGATTTTAAAATGTAGTATATTTTGGAGAATTAAAATAATTATTATGACATTTTTGTCGGTTTCTGAATAACACGTCTCCACTTGACAATTTACTGACATAGATACGACGCTATGTCTATAAATTGTTTATTATTTTTATTGTAAATTCATCTCCAAGTATAAGATTATTTGTAAACCTTGAAACTTTAAGAAGCATTTTATAGAAAATATTATTTGTATTATTACGTCGTGTTGGCTGTCGATTGTGACAAAAATCTAAGTTTCCAATAAATAAGTCCTATACCACTAGACCGTTGTCTTATGTGAAAAGAAACTGATAAAGATTTCTTTAAAATAAACCACAGTAAGTCGTGCCACAATAAATCGAACTGTTGAACAGCACAGACGAAGACGTGTTTCATCATCTTCTGCGCCAAAAATCCCAACATCAAAAAAGTCAGTGCCAACAAGCCATTTACAATACGTGGCTATGGTGTAATTTCTTGAAAGGTGAGTTTATTCAATTTACTATTTGCAATACTCAATGTACTGTAATGTAAAATAACGATGTGATGTTTGAGAATATGATAAATTTCATATTTATATGAATATGGATAACATCTGTCACTTTATAAATGAAAAATGAAATGAAAAGAAATTAAAAACACCACCACAGCAATCCTACAGATAAACATACCAGGGACAACTAATGTCTCATATCAGTCAATCTAGGTTTCGTAGTACAAGTTCTACTTAGTTTGAAACTATGTATATGGTGTTGTGTGTCAGATGTCTGAAAATATTATATTCGTTATTATATAAGTAATAAATGTTGTAATATTTTGTTGTAGATTGGAATACTGGGGGCTCAAGCAGCCAACCAACTGTGGCTCCTCCTTTACCAGCATCTGAGGTTCATTCTCAGTCTTCTCCAGTCACCGCAGTGGCAGAGGAGTGGAAGCCTCCAGAAAAAAAAAACTCATAAAAGCAATGATATTTTAACCGTTAATTGAATCGTAATCGTGTGAAATAAAATTAAAATTATTGACCAGACATATTTTTTTTTTCAAAGTAAATAATGTTCTCTGTAAATAACATGTATGTATGTAATGTATAAAAACCAACTCTGTATGATTCATTTTAAAATTATGGTAAATAAAAAATATTCATACTAGCTCATTTTTTACTATATGCCTTTCATCCCTGTCTGCTGTGGAACCCCCTCTATCTAACCAAATTTGGTACGAGCCCAGCAATGCCGCTTTGGAAATTTGTTCAAGGAAAAAGCTTACTGAAGCAATCCAAGGTCTTTACATAGGGTATAGAGGGATTTAACTGGTATACCCCTCGCACCCACTTCCACGGCATACAACGCAACGAAATAACCATTTTTACATACACACATATTTATACATACATATTTTGAAATTCGTTGTCATTACCCGAACAAACAGACAGACAAAAAATATTTAGACTGGTTTTTAGGCAAGATATCTATTGCAAAAAACCGTGTGAGCATGAAAAAAACCTATTATTTTATATTACAGACAGATTTTTCTTCACTTTTATCTTTCTTTGTTTATCTCTTCGCCTTATTTCACTAAAAAATAATTAATTAGATTAATATATATATATAAGTACATACTTAGTATACTACATTTTATTAATATAGTAGAAGTTTCTTCAAATGTTTCTGACAAATATTTAGTTTACACTTTATAGATAAAACAAGATTTGCTAACCTCGAATCTAGTTGTTGAATACCCTTATTTTCAATTCAACTTGCGACAAGAACATACATAGGACTAAAGAGGCGGTCTTCGCATTTATCTCTACAAAAAATTAACCGTTAATACTTGAAAATAATAGTTTTAATAGAAATTGATTGTTTCGAAACTTTTCTCACGGCCAAATCTTAGGTGAATAAACATTCGACTAAGCTCGACAGGTGCTCGATAGCTAGCCTTCGAACGTACGTCAAAAGTTCGTTCGTGCTGCCAATTTTCTTTATAAAGTGTAACGTATCGAATGCTTGACGATACGTTGACGATACGAAAGTAAATTCGAAACGTTCGTGCTGCCAAAATTAGTTACTTCTACTACACGATAGGGGCGCTGCACAAATGTCATACAAATTTTGTCGAAGACGATACGAATACTTTTTCGCAAGTTGTTCGTGCTCGGGGCACAGTGCATATAGTGTATTGTCTATGGACCAGCTATACTTAAATTTAACATTTTTCAAATCATCATTAATGTCCATAGAGCAGCACAGGCCACAGGCGGATGTTAATATCAATGCATAGAGCAAAACGGAAGGTAGTAGCCAAACGCATACGCAGTATTTTCAAACTTAGAATTGGCGAAATTGACAGTTGTAATTCTTTGGATTTGTTTACCAATACACGCCGCTCGCTCTCATGTAATATTTGATTAGACGCAATTTTTAAATTAATGTTTACTAAAATAAAGCTCATAATCCATATAATTATATCAGAAAACATAATCTCAAAATTGATAATATGCACGAGAGCCATGGATGTGTTTTATCGATATTTAACTATTTACAAACCGGGAACACTATCGCTCGGTGATAGCGATTAGCAAGATTAGCAACACGACACTCGGATCGGTCGCTCGACTGTCTATTCTATAATCAAAAACATTGTTATTGTCTCTGTCATAGCTATATGGCGGACAGCGACACACTAGCTAGCCCCCCAACCATCGGGAAGACCAAGCTTACGGTGGTTTGACTATAGTTAGGTCCTTCGGGTTAGGGTTGTGACTCTTCAAATTCATTTATATACGAATAATCGTTACAATGTACTAAGAATCGCACTTATTTATAACCTGCCATTTTCAATCCAGACATCTTTTAGTATTAACAATACGGGCCAGACAAGTCTAAGCCAATAAAGTTAGCTGCAAACCGAATGTTGTGCAAGTATTCTCGCAAACAAACGTACTTAGTACTTAATAAATTGTTGTTGTTCGCTTGTTCACATCAGGACAGATTCGCTTTAAGACAAATATGCTTTATCCCAGTAGTTAGTAGGTATTTAGTTTTCCTTAATATATTAACACTACAGATAAGAAAAAACAGTTGCAAGTATCGCCCTTAAAGGTATTTCTCTGAACACTGATTAGGAATTAAAAAAAAGAAAGTAGATATAGAGGATGTTTATAAGTTGTAAATTACTCGCTCACTCAACACTTATGAAGTTTCAAGTATCTAAAAATGTTTTTATATTCGTGATCAGCGTCAGTTGTAGATGCCAAAAATACGTTTTAAGAAAAATGTCATTCAGGGCAAAAATTGCTAGCAACTGTTTTTTGTTAAATGTTGGTGTATTTTCGATATTTTGCCAGTTAATATGCCTATTGATGATATTCATATCTTCCTGAAAGTAGAGCTTGAGTAATTTATTTGCCTTTACTTTAGTGTGTTCATTTGTTTTCACCAATCATCGTTTATCTACATTACTTATATAGATTTAATAGTAAAACCTAAGGTATAATAATATACGGGCTTTGACAGTATAGCTACATAAATGTTGTAACCTGTAATTAAAAATGTAAACTGTTATTGATTTGCAAATACAAAGATACGATATTGATATCTCTTAAGAATCGGAAATTGTAGCAATCGATTACTTTGACCGCTCCTTATTCTTCAATTTGTCAGAACTGTCAAACGGTACATCTTTAATTAGATGGACTATAGTTGCTTACCATAGAATCTAATTCTCATTACGAGTGCGCTTGTGGCTTTTAAGAAGTTAATAAGTTTAAATAAGTATAATAATTTACGCATTAACGATGGGCTCTAAAATATTTCAAGGCGTGCAAGACAGATATAATGGTGTTACCGTCGATTCACAAGAAGAACCTTGTGAACCTAACCAATTTCTTAATCAGTTAATTGGTGAGTTCACAGAAACATGAAGTGGTCGGGGAAACATCGAAATGTTTATGTTCGTTTAATGAGTATTACATATTGTTTTCAGATTCATTAACGAAGTGGTCGGAAGAAAACAGACGATGCATATGGTTCAAGGTTAATATAAAAGATGCAGGTTGGGTTCCTGTGCTTGCAAATGTAACTATTTCATATTATTGACTTTAATATACAATAATTTTACGGGTATCCTGATCATAATAAGGTAAGCAAAATAAATAATACTATAAATCTTCTAACTGCAGGAAGGCTTCAATTTTCACCATTCTAGAGATAATTTTGTGATGATGTACAAATGGCTGCCTACTAACAGTTCTTCAAACCTGCCACCTGCATGCCATACTAATCTTGGAGTTGGAGGAATAGTCCTTAATGAAAAAAATCAAATATTGGTTGTATCTGAGAAAGATATAGATTACCCTCATTGGAAGCTACCTGGTGGATATGTAGAGAGAGGTAACCTATGTTTGAGTAACAACTGGAATGCAATCCATTATTATATTTTACACTATAAATTGTATTGGAATAATTACAGGTGAAGACATTAAAGATGCTGCGATGAGGGAGGTCAAGGAAGAAACAGGCATTGATACTTCTTTTGAATCAATGGTAACCTTGAGGCATACACATAACATGATGTTCGGCAATTCAGATGTATATGTCATAGTAATGCTTAAAGCTAAAACAGAGACGATTTGTAAGTCTGACACAGAAATTAAAGCATGCCAGTGGATGGATGTGGAAGAATATTTAAATCACCCACACGTTCATGATTTTAATAGATTTATAGTAAGGCAAGCTTTTGATTTAAAATCCAGGCAGTTAAAGCTTGCATTCAAGAAAGAGACGTTAAATATATCTAAATTTTCAAGAGTTATTACAAATCTAGTTTTGGAAGATCTATGATGTTATAGAAAATGTTGAAGTCTAATATAATATAGCAAAGTTACTACTGTGATAAATTTGAGTTCCAGTACTAAGTACTTCACTATTAACCATATATCTTAATTCAAAAAATTTGCAACTTAAGAATCTATATATTAATATATTCAATTTATAAAGAATTCAATTTATGCATTAATAATAATATTGTACAAATCAAAGAATTGAAGAATATATTCTTAATTTATATATAGTTCAGAAAGCTAAAATTTTTAAACAGTATATATATATGTTTCACCTACATCAAGCTACATGTATCCAGTGTATTTGCTATCATGTCATGTTGGCTATGGTATTGATTTAAATTCAACCACCAAGTGATATTTATTTTATCTATTTTAGGCTCAAAAGAGAACTTAAACCAAAACACAGGAAGTTCAACACTTTTTGGTATAATATTTTATACTAGCTGACCGGCGCAACTTCGTCTGCGTCTCTCAATAGTAATAAATTTTCTCCGTTTTTGAAACATTCTTCATTGGTGCTCCGCTCCTATTGGTCTTAGCGTGATGATATATAGCCTATAGCCTTCCTCGATAAATGGGCTATCTAACACTGAAAGAATTTTTCAAATCGGACCAGTAGTTCCTGAGATTATCGCGTTCAAACAAACAAACAAACAAACAAACAAACAAACTCTTCAGCTTTATAATATTAGTATAGATAAAACAACTTTTTATCAAAAATATTGCACTAAGCCATTGGCAAAAAATAATTTTAACATTCATAAAAACCTGTTAGTTATAGTAGGGGAGTCTTAGAAGGAATTTCGGGATTTACTCGAGCGTGTCAGATTAAGATAGGAGGAATACCTTACACCCAGTTGGGTACCTCCATCATACATGAGCCCTACACATAGAGCTAAGCATCTCGGGCAGCCAATCAGATTTTTATTTGTTAAAAAATAAAATCGATGGTCAGATTAGTTAGAAAAATAAAATTGATGGTCAGAAATATTCAAGTGCGTAAGATCAAGGTAATTTGGGTTAATTACATGCACATAAGGTCTGTTTAAAAAAATTGACGATTTGAGCATTAAATGGCAGTGGGAGGGTCAAAACATGACCTTGTCATTTTTTTTATTTTGATGCAAACAATGCAAGAAATCTTTAAATGTACATAATTTTTCGTGCCGTTATTTGTCACATTTTGTTATAATAATTCCAATCGTCAGATTTAAAATACCCTGAAAATTATAGTCAGACCTTTGGCTAGCATGACAGGAGCACTAAGCTGAACCGTCTGTATAAAATCTAACACGCTCGGGTATTTCGAAAGGGCGATTTCTCAGTTTGCATTTTTGATAATTCGCTACGATTTTGTGTCTTCAATGATGTGTGTTTCAATGGGAGCACTTTCGGCATCCAAATAACATATCCCCAATTTTTTTTTCTTTCAAATTACCCCCTTACATTTTTGAAAACCTGTAGAAGCTTTTCTCTAAAAGTGGAAACATTATATAACTTTTATTCATTCTATTATCTAATCTTTCAAATGCAATAGGTCCTCCATGACGATCGAGTAAATTCTCATTTAGCGTCACGGGCTCCCCTTTTTTTTTTTTTTTCCGTGCGGAATTCCCCTCCGATACCACCTGTCGGTGGCATGTCGGACCCGAACCGACTAAAACCGCACGCCGTCGCCGGGTACTAATAGCCGGGGAACCAGGTATACCCTAGAAAGGAAGTCCCTGGTGCCCCGACATACCTCGGGTCATCTACAGACGAGTAGACGACCCCCCCCCGTGTGGCAACCCCATGTTCCCTGTGCTCCCTGGAAGCGAGCGCGCTTCGCAACGCGCTCGCCGCCACCCCGGCCTGCTTCTGCTAGGGTGACAGATGGCCTCACCTGTCACCCCCAGGCCTGCGCTTATGGAGGACGGAGGTCGTTCTGCGACCTCCGGCGTCTGAGTCGCCTGCGGTACCTGGCCCGTTCCCGGGCCTGGCGGGCCGGGAGAGTTCTAAACCTCTCCCGGTCCCGCTCCGCCGTCTCCTTCGCGAGCATGACTTGCTCGCAGAAGGAGACTGCAGAGTTCCACGCACTCTCGCTCCGCACGATAGCCGCAATCAGGTTATCGAGCGAGAGAACTCCCACTCCGATGGCCGCCACGAGGTCTCGCCTCTGCTCAACCCACGCCGGGCACTCTGCCAGCGTGTGGAGAGCCGTGTCCACGGTCTGGCCATCGTAGTGGTGGCACTCAGGCGTTGGCTCCTTGCGGATCAGACACAGGTGATCTCCGAAACATCCCTTCCCAGTGATCACCTGCATCAATCGGTATGAGAGGGTCCCGTGACGCCTCTCGAGCCAATCCTCCATAACGGGTCTTACCGCCGCGATGACGGCGTGCCCGATCACGGGCTCCCCTACTCTTAGGAAGGAAACACTGAGATGTATGGTTGGTGATTATAACAGAGCATCCTAATGCAAACATTATTTTGTTTTCTGTCTATTAATATATTGTCGTTGGGTTTGTTTGAATGATTGGATGTTGCAGGAATTGCTCAGTTTGGAAACTGATATTTTGGTAGTTGGATGTTTCACGAATTAAGACATAAATACTAACATCTTTATCAAGTGGAGGCTCTATTAATTTTTTAAATGTTTAATTAAAAACACTTACATTAGGTATACACAACAAATTTAATCTATGTCCAAAGAAAATTGTCGTGTGTAGTTATGAATCAAAATGATTACAAAGGAATAAAACCTAATCAGCCCTCAAGTTCTAATCCTGTATTATATAATTATAATATAATAAGGAAGTCTTTATCAAACGCCCAAAAACTCTCGACTGTCAGGGATTTGTTTGATTATCCGTACTAATGTTATAAATGCGAAAGTGTGTCTGTGAAAGGGGTACTTCACGCTTAAACCGCTGAACCTATTTAGATGAAATTCGGTACAGATATCCTCTGAGTCCCGGAAAAGGGCAAAGGGTAGTTTTTATCCCAGAAATCATCCTTTAAGGAGGCGAAAAGGGGGAGGGGTGAAAGTTTCTATGGGGATTCAACCGCTGCACCAATTTAAATAAAATTTGGTATCGCGGTCGGTTATCGCGCTAAAAAGTAGTCAAAGTATCTTTGACTACTTTTTAGCGCGATAACCGACATTTAAGGGCGAAGCCGCGAGCAAAAATTGGTCAATAATATATCTACCTACACATGGTCTTGCAATTAATAGAATTACTCTTCAAGTGGTTTGGGTAAATAGTTTTTCCACAATTAAAAATTATAAAAGTTAAACTAGAATTACTGATATTTATAGTTATATCAATCATCATGTGCTAATTTAGTTGAACGTTAGTCAGTAACCCACCTGCAAGCAACAAGTAAAGCAAACGCTCAATTTAGATACATTGCAAACATATTCCCTCAGACTTTAAAATAAATGATGCGTTCGATCGACTGTTATGGGACCTGTACGCCTATTCATCATACACATCGATTATGTTTACATTGGAACGCTTAGTCCATACAAGACTTTAAATTGTAAGTGATTTATATCTTGTTTAAAACCTAAGCATAAGAGCGAGTAAAATGTTTTAGAAGGTATCGAAGTTCCAATGCCACAGCGAGGTTTACCTATCGCATTCGCACCGCCGAGGATGTGATTTTGTAGATGGCGGCGGCTAAAGGAAATACATATATCTATTTGAATTTACTCACCTAACCTTAGACGGTAGCGAGTATGGCGATATATTTTTTACCTGGACTAAATGCTACTAGTCTAGAGCAGCCCGAAAGTAGTCCCCGCGCCTTTGCGAGCAAACTCTAGAAGGGGGGAACGGGTGTCTTAATAGCTGTTCCTAGACCCCTGCTATTTTATGATCAACTTGGCACGTATCTGGTTTTGTAAGATCCCTCCACAGAGACCTTTCTGAAACACTAACTGTGGGTTATTTGTGAAAATTAGGAGCTTTTTACCTCATCACTTGCCGGGTCGTGCTATGGTAACCGGACCAAATTGATTGCAGAGGCTTTGCCTAAGGCCCTTTAAGATGCATAGCAAGCGTTTTTAAATAGTTCTAATATCAGTGGTTACTTTGTGCCTCATATACTTAACTCTCTGCTATGAAATATTTTGAGAAGGGTATTTCTATGATAACGATAAACATTAACTGCACGGATGGCGTAGTGGTTTAAGCGGTCGCCACGCCGCTTCCTACTGCGCCGAGTGTTGTGGGTTCAAACCCCACATGGGACGACACTTTGTGTGATCCACAAATTGTTGTTCTAAGTCTGGGTGTTCTTTGTGTCCGTTTCATGTATGTTTGTAAAGTCCCCCGCGACACAGGAATGTATTCCTAATGCGGGCGTTGTCTTTTAAAAAAAAAAGATTAAGTATAACACAGTTATAATTTTTTAACAAACTTGTAAATAAGCAAAATTTTATTGATACTGAACCATAAAAATGACATTGTAATGATTATTAGAACTTAAATGTGGAAGTTTGACAATATTTTATGTACAACCACGTATTCTAGTAAAACTTAGGTGTAGACATTGTTAACTAAAATGTAACTAATTTTAATTATGTATGAATAAATAAAAACATTTTTATAATCTTTCCACCTAATATAGCCTACAAAACATTTAGTGACAAAGCAAGATTCCATATTGTTTAGGTAAATAGCAAGTTCAAAAGAGTGACCTTTTACATTGTTAATATTCTATTGTCAAATTGGATTACTAGTGGGTGGACTGGGATAGTAGGTATATTTCGAATATGGAGACAATGAAATCATACCTAGGTGTTTTTATTATAGTTGACCTAACATCTCTTATGTAGTTGTATATTATTTACACAGGTATGAATAAAAAAACGCGTCATATAAATAAAACAGCTAATTATGAAAAACAGAGGTGACCTTGTCTGTGCAAGACTTACAAAATAAGACCTACAACTGGTAAGCACACATGAATGCATTAGTTCTCATAAATATACATATCTCCGAAATTTCCGAATTAGGTACTTTTAACAATTTAAACAATTTGACAGCTGAAGTATTTATGTATAAATCGAGCTTAATTATTTACTAAAGTATTTTACGATTATAAGATAGGTACCCCAACATCAACTGAAAAATATGTTTTTAAATTTAATAAAAAATGTAGCTTAGGCGCGTTCGTTAATTTTGTACCTACAGAAATTAAAAAAAAGAACATTTCCAACGAAGTTTTCTATGAAGTGACGTCGCATCGCGAAATTTTTGTGTTGATTACATCAATTGAATACAAAAAAACTGATAAGTGGACCATCATTTTATAAGTAACAGAATTATATTTCAGAATAGTAAAATGGTGCATATACAATAGTGACTAACAATTCGACCTAAACATCGTTTAATTTCTAAGTACTTTAATCCATCGTTAACTATATGAAAAATATATTACTTGTAATTAGGTTGGTTATATATTCGGCAACACTGTCAAAAAAGAAGTTTTATAACGAATTTAATATCACTATAGATAACTGAAAAACAGATCATAAATATTGAACATTGCCGATAATATTACACATAAAATATTAATAAATAAAATGAAAATGTGTTAATGCTTTTGTAAAACAATATGAATTACCTTTGTAAATAAACAATTATGCATGTATTCTGTAATAAATTGACACCAATCATTCATTAAATGTTAATAAAAACAAATACTGTGTTTAGTGATTTGTTTTTCTTTGTTTAATCTAAGTCTGGAGCTGCAGCACTTCTGCCTATGTAGTCTCCATCATCATCTGAACTATCAGCATCACCTATTATAGTTTTCAGCAGCCCTCCAAACATTGAGCCAGGATTTTTATTATCAGGTGGTATTTCTATACCAAACCAAATACGACCAATGTTGTCTAAATACACTGAGTAGTTTGGATCCCTTTTAATACTTATTGCATACCAACTCCTTAATATTTTAAACTGTGTTGGATGTTTCCTAAAAAAAAAAAAAAATGGTCAAACGACGCAACAGTGCCCTAAAGCAAAGCTTACCAATAAAAGGGTAATGGTAACTGTTTGGTGGTCTCTTCATGGTGTTATTCACTATAGCTTTCCCAGGTCTGTTCAGGCAATAACAGTAGATGTTTACTGTACCGATCTTCGAACAATGATGGTGATAGTGAAACAGCCCCGACTCGTGAATCGATCTTCACCATTATAACGTAAGACCCGTTGTAGAAGAGAAACCGTTGTAACTCTACAGGAGCTGCTGTTAGATATACGTTTCTTTTTTTTCTTAATTTAGACAATCTTTTACGTGATAAAAAAAATTATTCCTGGTGAAAGCGTTTTGTACTGCCTGTACAAAATGCTTGCACACAGTTCGTCGAATCTATATCCCCAGAGTTCTATCGTCAAGACATAAATGAACTTCCGTTTTGCCAGCAATGTATAGATGATGAGGGTAAATATTTTGATAAAATCTTAGAAAAAAAACGATTTAAGATTATGGAATCCGTAATCAAAAGTTTATGGACATAGCGAAGGTCTTCGATCGGGTATGGCATAAGGTGCTTCTCTGAAAGCTCCCTTCCTATGGTCTTCCCTAGAAATTATGTAACTGGGTCCCCTGTTTCCTTGCAGGCAGAAGCATTAAGGTTGTTATCGACGGTGCGTTCTCCGTCTTGAAGTAAATGCTGGTGTCCGGCAAGGCTGCGTGCTATCACCCACACTGTTTCTTCTGCTTATCAATGATATATTGCGAACTAGTAGCATCCATTTTTATCCAATATTACCCGGAGAAACGTCATCGAGAATCGAAACAAACTTGTGTCTGAAATTGAAACTTCCTCAACGGAGGTTTCAGTTTGGGGTCGACTGAATCTAGTCCATTTTAACTTAAAAAGACACAGGTTTGCGCGTTCACCGCAAAAAAGATACCGTTTGTCGTATCACCTCGGTTCGAGACCACCTCTCTAACTGCCTCAACCAGTGTCGGAGTCCTAGGCATCGACATCTCGAGCGACGTACAGTTATTTTTTTAATGAGATTTAGCCAGTATTTGACTCCAGCCCATCGCCTCCAACTTTATAAGGCGCAAGTTCGGCCGGATATGGAATACTGTTGTCATCTCTATGCAAGGGCACATCAGTGCCAGCTTCTCCCTCTGGAAATCGTCGATAGCCAAAAGATCTTCGACCGGCTCAATCCCTTGGCGTTGCGTAGAGATGTAGCTTCGCTCTGCATTCTCTATCGTATATATCATGAGAAGTGCTCCGAGGAATTGTTCGGACTAATTACCGGTCGCAACTTTCCGCCATCATTCCACAATGCAAAATTTTCATCACCACTACTTGGATAATTGGCACTACCAAACTGGAACGGGATATCGTCGGATTTGTAAAACACGGAAGAGAACAAATTATGCAGGTACAATGACTAACTACTTTGATCATTATTGAGACTAATTAAATCATCATATAAATAAATTTAAATTGAGCATAACTATTTCTTTTGTTAATCATATTAATACCATGCATGAAAGAAATACAAATTCCCATTCTAAATAAAATATAATCTTATATAACAAATATAATATCTGACCGATACAAAAGCCAAATTTCTACTGAAAAAGGGTAAGTAGGATATGGTGAGGTGGGGGCAGACTATATGTATATAAATGAAACATTTTCTTCAACAAAGAGCTGTCTGTCGATTTGACCTTGCCCTGTTGGACTTGTTTTAACCACTTTTTGTTTGATCCGCCCTGGTCACCTCTTTTTGTCTAGAAACACTACTATATAATTTATTTAAATTTATGTAACTGAGTGAGTAAATTTCAACTGTTTCTGCTTGCTTAGCCATTTCCACACAACTATTTGTTGGTGGAAATACAAGTATGCAGTTTACTCTTGCAAGTTAAACAGGTATTTTCTAATCAAAGTGGTAACCGGGCTTAAAACTTGCTACAACTTTTTTATTATTCATATCATTAATCAAATCAAAAAAATTGATTCATCAATGATAAAGAAGTTGGCAGTATATAAAGCCCATTGTGGGTTCTGGGTTTTGTAGAAGCTTTTGATTACTTGAAGTATGTTAAGCTATCGTTCATAAGAGAGTTAATCCTGTTAGTGATTATAAATAATTTAGTTACAACTTACTTAATAAATTCATACTTACTGCTCAATTGCACGTAATAGAAACCACAAAAAATTTAATAGCGGAAATATGTATGGTGGTCCTTTATCATTATTAATTTTAGGATGAGAGCTTGTGTATTTGGTAAAGGTTTCTGTTGCCATTCGTATATTCCGCAAACAAAGAATTTGCAAAACGGGCTGGGCAATAAATAAATCTATTTCAGATTTAAGTCCTCTAGATGTATGTAGTTCAACAAGCATATTTGCATATGCGGACCCATCACTGGAGTGTAAGAAATGCCTGTGAGCACTTGTGTATTTCTTTTCTTTCCAGTAAACTTCAGCAATTCTCTGAAAGTATTTATTTGAAAGTGATTATTTGACAATAACTCAGTAAGTGATTTTAGGATTAGTATGACATAGGCAAAAAAACTGACAAAGCTTCAATGAAATTGAGCATTTTCATAAAAACTATTAAGACTTTTTGTTAAGTTTTAATAAAAGTCATAGATAAGGATAAATTAATTTCAAACTTGGTTTTAAACATTACCAGATAAACAGTAGTACTGAAAGTAACATATGAGGAATTTAATTTGCTGTTTCATCAATATTTGTTAGAAATAGAAAGAATTATTCAGCCACTTCTGCAGATCAATGGACACTTATGTTTATTTACTATTGGATAAATTGTCACAGAGACCCTTATAGGTATACATTTAAATTGTTTACCTTGTGTAGTAGGGGATGACCTTTTTTGTTATTGTCCATGGACCATTTGACTGAATTCGTGAGGAATGATTCTCTTTCAGGTAAACTAGAGCTCATTAATTCGAATAGCTTAGATAGTTTGTCAATCCATTCCTCACATGGCTTAGTTTCTGATTTATTCAATACGTCTATGATTAATATAGCTAAATCTGCACCACTTCCCTGTTGATCGCGCTGCAGCAATAATGTAGAGCCTTTATATAATAAATTTAATAAATCAGTATACTTTTTCTGAGTTAAATATCTGAAAATGCATAAAGATTACATTAATAAATTCCAATCCATTATAACAAAACTGTTAATTCAGAGTTAATATAAGTACCTAAAATAAAGTGTTCTGTACATTTGGTGTGCCTCATAATACTGCCCAGAATTAACAGATGCTTCTAATTTATCAAGTACTCTTCCGACTCCCCTTTCTCCTCTTGTAGCCATTATTTATTTTCTAGAATAATCTGTTTTTTTAGATTATTATATTCACACACATTCACCAATTTACGACATAACCACGAAACTATGAGTGAACAACAGAACCAGTGAACGAATGAATGACAATAAGTGAAAAAAAAATTAGTTTATCTGAGAATCCCAATACCGGTTTTAATTCGTTTATATACTCTGTGGCAATATTAGTGGACTTTAGAATTAGTACCTTGTATAATCGACTAAAGTGGTAGGATTTTAATGTATATAATATACATATTTCTACAACTTATTATAGCTGTCGTTATTGTAGTTCCATTTGACTGTTTAGATGCTACTCAACAATATATAATTGCATACATTACGTATTCTTTAAATATTAAGCATTTACAAACGAACAATGGCACAGAATATGTTAACGCCAAATTTCAAGCCTATCTTAAGGAACACGTGATTGCTCGACGCTTATCCGCATCCTATACCCCACGACAGAACGGTATCGCTTAAAAACTGGCTGTAAACAAAGTGAAGCAGACCCTTGTTTATATATCAGACTCAGAGGACAATTCAGTCTTAATCGGACTTTATTTGATGATGGACTAGTGACGTCTAACACAAATGCTGCAGGAGATGAGTTTATTAATGAGCTAAAAGCTCGTTTCAAGATAACAACCAAACTACTCTACTTTCTGGGCATTGAAATAATAGCAGAAAAACGCAGAATAACTCTATACTTATATAAAGAAGATTCTTGAAAAGTTTGGTGTAATGAACAGTAAGTCCACATCAACTCCGATAATTAAAGGATGTGTGAACGATACAGAAAAAAATAAAATAAAAAAAGCATCCAGAAACCTAGAGACACCCACTATAATTGATGTCATGCTAGTGAAACGGATCTTACGGTACCTCAAGTGGACTACCAAACAATTTGTTATGATACTCTGACTCCAACCTCGAAGGAGATCAAACAACAGGTAGATCGTCATCTGGGATGGTGTGCCTACTCTCAGGAGGAGCTATTAGCTGGAAAAGTCAGCGAACAGCCTATTAAAAGTAAAAGTAAAGTTAAAAATGTATACTTAAATAGTTTATTCATTTGTTCGGTTCAGTTTACTTTAACGCTTTCCGGAAAATTAAACGGAATGGAACCAATAATAATAATACTTATTTCAATCCCACAAATAAATTACAAAAATATTAAAAAGGTCAAAATGTAAGAACATAAAAGTGTTTAAATAGTTGCGTTTGAAATACCTGGGTTTTTGTGGGAGTCAGGAGCCCAAACTAGGATACCCTGTGCTATGGACTCCTGGCTCCTGGTTGTGGTAGTGTGGTGTATATGGGTGTGTCGTGGAAGTTTGTGTGCGTGTATCGTCGAATCGTGTTCCAAGAGTCATTGTACAATTAATTGTTATTTTTACATTTTGCCTTGGTCATATCTGTAATTGCTAGTTGCTTATTAACTTTATTGTGAAGAAAGTTACCCTAAATTCATAAAATTTTTGAGACGGACGGGACGGGTTCTCTGCCGCTGGCTCTGTCCAGATGGGGTGGACACTGGTCTGATGCAGACCACCGTCCGGCCAAGTCATAAGCCTGACTGGCAACAGTCAGGAATGACGGCTCTTTTCGTGGGCTACGAGGAAGGTAACCTCTATAAAAACGGACCCGGTCTGGTGCAGACTCGTCCGGCCTAGCCGTAATCCTGAATGGTCAGGACCGGTGGCTTTTCAGATCCGCGAGGACGTAAACCTATATAAAAAAACCCTAAGCCCACGCTCGGCTCGAGCCGACGGCTCAGGTCTTCTACAGATTACGTAGTTACTTTTTTCTTTCCTTACAGCTTTATTTCAACCGATAATCCAATCCTTTGCCAAAGATAAACAAGGTAATTCGCGGTCCACCATGAAGGGTAAGCTGAGGAGCTGGTTGGATTAACAAAGGTAGTTAGACGACTGATGTGAGGCAATGTTGCAGGGTGCTTCATTTCTATATTAATGTTTGCTTTGCTCAAACGGCCCTCAACTCGCAGAATACCTTCGTTTTCGAGAAAAGGATTTAACTTTAATAAAAAACTCTTTTACTCACTATTTTATGCTGTCGTAATGATACTATTACTTCTGGAATTAAATCCCTTGTATGAATTTTAAAATTAGTGATTTTAATTTCCTTAATTCAAACAAGGTAAGATAACTAGGGAACTTATGCTTAGCTGTCATTTTTGATCATTATCATTACTTAATTTTAATGTTTTAAGGACACGTAAAATCCATGCTAATATCCTTGTAGTTTTATTGTACGAACTAAATTTTACTACATCCAAGCCATGGTTTCACATTTATAACCGCAATGAATAAACATACGTTTTGGAGTGCTGGTTTCTCCTTGGCGCTAATTTATAATGGGATTGCAACAAACATATCTTTAAAAAGCTCGCTTTATAGATATATCAATCAGTTTCCGATAATCGTGACGTACAATGTTTTTTTGCAGTTTTTGATTATAAAATGTCAACAAATCTTCTATTGTTGTGTTACGACAAAAATGTCGTGTGACGATATCGGTGTATGTTTCAATGGCAGCAGGATTAATAGTTTTCCAGTTGTCTGTTAACTTTTTGAACAGTGGGATATCAGGGCTACTTGTGACTTGGTGGATTTTTGTTTCGAACACACATTTTAAAACCAGTTCGTAAACGTGATGGCGGCAAGCAAAGAGTAGTAAGCCCTCTAGTTTTTGTTCCAAAAGTACAGAAGCTAATTTCAATCGCCCTGTTTTAGACGTGTCACAGGCCACAGCACATTATTTGTACTTTGTCATCGAGGTTCCAGTCATAAAGTGCATTCAACACAGCTTTAGCTTGATCCTGGCCGGAAGAGCTCTCCAGTTTGGGTACAGCCAGAAGTTGTTCCTTTTCTCCAAATTCCAATTTTATAGATTCCGCTCTATATTTTCGAATCTAGTGCTTCTACTAAAGGCTGAAGTATATAGGCAGAATCCCTTATGCTTCATTGACATTTATCTAAAGCTGCAACTAACTTAGGCGTGATAAAGTCTTCCTTCCTCTTTTTGTAGTAGCTTCAGAAGTTACCATTTGAGAGGTGAATGGCAAGTGTTCCTCAAGGCTTCATCAGAGCTGTTAAGTTGATCGTGATGCCCTTGCGTTTGTATAGCATCTTGCGTAGTAAGAGATGACGATAAACCTCCGAAACACATTTGCTCATAACTTTTTTTCTCTTCATTTAATTTTCTTTGTTCTTCTTTTTCGCTTAACTTTTTGTCTACACCCGCAGAACACCCTGGATGCACTGTTTCTCTTTGTGTTTGTAAAAATATTTATCTTCTTCAATTTTCATCCTATCCAAAGCATCAGCATGTGCTTTATGAAATCAACATCATCATCATCAACAGCCTATAACAGTCCACTGCTGGACATAGGCCTCTCCTTAGAAAGGAGGTTTTGGCCTACTATACCACGCTGGCCAGACATGTTGGTATAGGGTTTGTTTCAAGTTTTCCTTCTCTATAGCAAATAAATTATCTAAATTGTTTTTAAAGTCCTCCTCAAGGCGCTTGTAGTTGTTGTTTCTTTTTGCAACTCCCTCCAAGCATAGTGAAGATCCACAAGTTTTATAACACAGTAAGTTATAGTTCTGGTAGGGATTCTAGCTTTTTCCCAAAATATAATACACTCCCAAATGACGAGATTAGTGCTTTCACTAACAGTCAATTTAAAAAAAAGTACTGCAATAACTTGACGATTAGACGGTAAATTTGAGCCTGTTATTTGATAATTTACGTCACCAACTAAGAAATTACTTTTTTTATTGTTTTTTTTAAAGACAACTATTGCTTCTTAATTCCACTGCCATCTTTTAAATGTAAAACAATACGTGCTAATCGCGAGTATAATTGAGAACAAATGACAAGTACCGCGAATACGCACCGCTACTGCCGCGCAACATGCATGAACATTATTCGATGCAAGTCGGCACGTTTTATCGTACTCCAAATAAGGTAAAAAAATATTTCCGTGTGTGTGTTAGAGGCAAATGAATAAAACTAAGACCTATGCGTTAAAAATTTAAAACCTTGAAAAAATAAGGGACACACACATACATACGTTATACATAGAAAACACCCAAACTCCGAAACAAATATTTGCAGATCATACAACATTTCTTCCGAGACGGGAATCGCACCCAAGACCTCAGCACAGCAGTCGCATACGCTACCACTGCACTACCGAGGCATTCCTTTGTTACCAGTTTTGAAAACAGGGACCACTACAGATTTTTTGTTAGACATTTATTTAAAATAAAAGTAAGCGGATGGACTATAATGCCTTTTAAGTGCTTTAATACTATTGGTGATATATTGTCCCAATCTGCCCCACAATCTCACAAGAAAAAAATCTGTTCTTTTTGTATGTAAAACATTATTGTTAAGATTTTCTTTTAATGTATAGTGCATTCTGTCTCTTGTTCTGGTGCAGCTTAAGAGTTCAGTATAATCCACGGTTTTATAGCTATTTTGATAATTATGATTTTCTGTAACCTTTCTATGAAAAAGTATATTAAGTTGTTGGGATTACTATTAGTATTCTAGAAATGATTGAAATCTATGTTTGTGCAGTCATTTTTTAGTTTCCTATAGTTAATTTTAGTGATAATATTTAGGTTCCCTAAATACAAACAGAAAATAATAGGCTAATTGCAGCAGCTGTTTACCCCAGTTTATTCGTAATGGGCAGGTATCATACGTAAACATTGAATGAGGTCCAGATAACTTGTTGAATTTAGATTAGTTTATTTTAAATTAATACTTATCCCATCAGAACAATATTTTTAAAACTTGACAGTCTGGATAATAAATCCTGCAAAGTCTGTAAAAAACTGTAAAGTGAGAGAAAACTAGGTGGTCTGTATAAAGCAATTATGGCCGTCTCATTCTTTATTTTTATTAGTAAACAGGTTGGTCCTAAAAATTTCCGGTTCTTCAATGGTATA